GCTGATCATTTTGGTCAGGCATGACTTGCCCTTTGTGAATCCATGTTAACTATTCCTGATCACATTCCCCTCTTCCAAGTGCTTCAAAATGGATTCCTTAAGGATCCCCTCCATGATTTTTCTGGGGACTGAGGTAAGGCTGACTGGTCTGTAGTTCCCTGGATTGTCCTTCTTCCCTTTTTTGAAGATGGGCTCTACATTTTCCATTTTCCAATCATCCGGGATCTCTCCCGATCTCCACGAGTTTTCAAGATAATGGCCAAAGGCTCTGTAATGACATTTGCCAACTCCCTCACTACCCTAGAATGCATTAAATCCAGACCCATGGATTTGTGTATGTCTAAATATTTCTTAACCTGTTCTTTCTCCACCAAGGGCTGCCCATCTCCTTCCCATACTGAGTTGCCTATTGTAGAAGTCTGAGAGCTGACCTTGTCCCCGAAGACAGAGGCAAAGAAAGCGTTGAGTACTTCAGCTTTTCCCACATAATCTGTCACTAGGTTACCTCCCTCATCCAGTAAGGGCCCTCCACCCTCTCTGATCACCCTCTTATTGTTAACATGCCTATAGAAACCTTTTTTGATATCCTTCACACCCGTTGCTAGCTGCAATTCCAATTGTACTTTTGCCTTCCTGATTACTCCCCTGCATTCTTGAGCAATAGATTTATACTCCTCCCTAGTCATCTGTCCAAGTTTCCTCCTCTTCCTTTTTGCGTTTAAGCTTGCCCAAAAGAGGGTAAAGGGTAAGGGAAGGTATTGGAGGCAGGCGGATGCACAAGGGCATGGGAAGCCATGAGGGCATGAGAAGGAATGTAGGGTAAAAAGCATGAAGCAAGAGCAGCCACAAGGGGACAGTATAGACATCAAGAGGATGCAGTAGGCCCACAGAATGCACCCCAGGGGATCCAGTCACATGCATTGGGGTATTTTAGGGATTTGCTTGTTTTCAGCCTCATTTTGAAACAGCTTTTTCAGCTTGTTTTGATAAAGCTGGGTGGCCTATTTATAGCATGAAAGTTCATGAGTCCATGTTAGCAGAGCTCTTGCAGGATTCAGGGCATGTTGCAGGTTGTAAAGAACCAACTTACTTTTAGAACATTACTGTTTCCAGAAAAGAGACCACAAAAGAAGGTGATTAGAGATGTCATTATCATCAAAACGGGTGGAGACTGAAGGGAGAGTAGTTATATCACGAGAAGCATATATTATTCTCTTTTCTTGTAATTCTTCACACTATAAATTTTCTCTCTAATGAAAAGGGATGATGTGACTTTGCATAAAGTAATAATACTGTAGATAAGCATGAAAAGAAAACTGATTATAGGTCAGATTTTGAAGAAGGAGAACAGGAGAACAGGAACAAAAGAGCAATGACATGCTGTTACCATGAACACCACAGATATTATTTTGCTCAATAGGCTTAATCCCATTAAAGTAGCTGCTTCTTAAAATTATGCCAGTGCTCCAGCAGAAGGAAGCATAAAACAAAATTGTGATTCACTAAGTGTAACAATGAAAAGTGCTTTAATACTTTGTTTAAGTAATAGGATTCTCTGTGTGGAGTTGTGCTAGGTTTGACTGTCTTTGGTAGGAGGGAAACTGTCAGAATTTTAACTAACTACTCAAAACTTTTCTCTTATCAAGAGAACAGGCTAATTCTTTCCATCAGAGGATCACAATGTGCTTTAGAAACATCAGTGAACATCCCTTGAGATAAGGAACTAGTATTGTCCTAATTTTAGATGGCAAAATGGAGCAGGAAAATAACAGATTGGCCCATGATCACACAGGATGGCTGTGTCTACACTGCACCCCTTTTCCGGAAAAGGGATGCAGATTAGACACTTCGGAATAGCAAAATCCATGGGGGATTTAAATATCAAGAGATATTTAACTTTCAAGAGATTCCTACTTTCAAGTAGGAATAAGAGATCCTCCGGAAAAGGGCTTATTTTCTGGAGAATCACGTCTAGACTGGCGCTTTTCTCCGGCTTATCCCCAAGCCGGAAAAAAGCGGCAGCCATGTAAATGCAAATACCGCGGGGGATATTTAAATCCCCCGTGGATTTTGCTATTCTGATGTGTCTAATCTGCATCACTTTTCCGGAAAAGGGATGCAGTGCAGACACAGCCGATAGGTCTTCATTATAGAGTTAACTTTGATTGTCAACACTCAGACTGAACTCCATAATTAACCTAGCCCAAGTATGAGCAACCACACTGCAAAGATGAGTTACTGTATCCATACTGGTGCTGTACATCCTCCAGGGTGTCACTGGGACTTCAAGGATACGTCCACACTGCAGACTTTTTCTGGAAAAATGGCTGGTTTTTGGAAAAAGCTATACTTACATCCACACTGCAATTGCATTATTTTGATAGAAAGTCGAAAGAACGCAGGGGGTTTTCCAACAGCGGTAAACCTCTTTCTACAAGGAAGAAGCCTTTTTCCAAGAGTTCTTTCGGAAAAAGGCTTGTGCAGACAGGGAAGAGGAGATTTTTTCGAAAGAAGAGGCCTCTAGGAAAAAGCACAGGTGCCCTGGTGGCCACTCCATCCATAGTAATCACAACTTAAATGCAAGATAGCGTCCAAAAAAGCAGATTACTTTTTCAATGCATTTTTGCTGTGTGGACCGTCTTTTTCTAAATATGTTTTTCCAGAAGATCTCTTCCGGAAAAGCTTCTTCCGGAAGAAGCCTGCAGTCTAGACATAGCCCTCAGGTCAGATGCCATGGGATTCTTTGTGCTGCAATAAACTAAACTGTTCTATTATGATTTTTGCCAGTACGGTGTGGGAATATCTAAGGCAACGGTAGACTATGGGTACTCAAGTGATATAGGCCGCTTCCTCACTGCAAAACAGCAGGTCACTAGCCCAGCCTCTGAATATTAGCCTGCAGCCTCAGACAAACCAACTGACATGGACTGAAAGTATCACTAAACCTGTGTGAGGTGATTGTGTGTGTCTGGGAGGTGGGAGGAACAGGAGGGCAGCTAGGGGCAGCACATGAGTAAAAGCACAAGTGAGCCCAGCAGTGAAGATATACACCCAATATACCTGTGGAAAGGCTGAAACTAGAACCCAGATATCAAAGGCCTGTGGCTGCCCACAGAGGAAACTGTCCCCTCTAAAGGAAAATCAGGTAATCACAGGTGTAAAGAAAGATACTAAGGGTACGTCTAGACTACATGCCTCTGTCGCCAGAGGCATGTAGATTAGGCTACCAGACATAGTAAAATGAAGCGGCAATTATTTAAATCGCCGCTTCATTTAAATTTACATGGCTGCCGCACTGAGCCGACAAACAGCTGATTAGTGCGGGTGTCGACATCAAAGGTATTTGTCGACCACCCAGGTAAACCTCCTGGTATTTGTTGACCACCTAAAGGTAAAGCTGATCAGCTGTTTGTCGGCTCAGTGCGGCAGCCATGTAAATTTAAATGAACCAGCGATTATTTAAATTGCCGCTTCATTTTACTATGTCTGGTAGCCTAATCTACATGCCTCTGGCGACAGAGGCATGTAGTCTAGACGTACCCTATGTTACAACTTTTGAGAATTACTAGTATAAGCTTTGGTCTACATCGGGACTTTATTTCAAAATAACTCTCCCTCTGGTCAAGTTTATAAACAAAGCATCCACACTACCAAGCCCATTATTTCTATATAACAGGCTGTGGAATTTGAATCTATACTCCTGCTTTTCATCAGGAGTATCACTAAGTTCAAAATAGTTATTTTAAAATAACGGTAGTGTGGACACTCTGGTGCCACTAATTTGAACTAATTACTCCCCAGAGTAATTCGAACTAATTACTCCCTGGTGCTTCCTGGGGCTCTAAGTCTGAGGTAACACTTCCATATTAATGGAGCCTGCCTCAGATTAATTTTGAGGCTTCATGTAGTGTGGATATGCTAGTTTGAATTTGTTAAATTGGGAGTTATTAAGTCATATTTACTAATTTCAAAATAGTTTCCTCGTGTAGACATGGCCTAAGAGGGCCAGATTCTGCCACTGATATGTACCTTACTTTGCAAGTACTTCCACTGAAATGAAACTGGCTTTCATACTGTAAAGTACTGTTCAACATAAGTGAAAATTCTCTCCCTTCTCTTCAAATTAATATGAGAGAGGAGATTGAATACTGAAATAAGAAGCTTTGCTTTATAACAAAATATAATGTAAATACATAAGATCTGTTTTCTGAAAAGAGATCAGGGATTCTCTGGCTATTCTTAAATGCTTGACAATAAACATTCAGGACTACAACAAGCTTTGGGCTAGATCAAGCTTCTATGCACTGCTTTGAGCAAGGAGGAGCGCATAAGCCATGCCATCCCAGAAAATGGGGGGAGGAGAGAATTGTGACTCCGAGACACCTCTGTAAGTGTCAATTCCCAGCTTACTTCCCCCTTCCTTTCAGGCACAGGGTGGTTGTAATTTGCATCTCTCTAATACCAGCAGCAAACTGTAATCCACACAGTAGTTCAGTTCATGAGGCAAGACCATGGAAGGCCAAACTAAGGCCATGTTTTCACTCCGGGGAAGAATGACGCTGCCACGATGGATCTTCTGAAGTTCAATTTAGTGGGTCTAATAAAGACCCATTAAATCAAACTCAGAGAGTGGCTCTGTTGGCAGCCAGTACTCCTGCTCCTGTGAGGAGCAAGGGAAGCTAAAGGGAGGGTTTCCTCCCATGGGCATCTCCACTGTGGGGACAGCAGGGAAACTTGAATCAAGGTACGTCGACTACAGCTACATAATTAATATAGCTGGAGTTGTACGTCTTGATTCAAACTTTCCCTTTAGTGTAGACCTGGCCTAAGTCTCTACTCCCTCTCTTCCCACCCTCTTTAGGCGTGTCAGGGTTTGCCAGAACTAAGCCCCGGCACCTATGCAATATGGAATATAAGGTTGCCAACCCCCCAGGATTGCCCTGGAGTCTCCAGGAATTAAAAATTAATCTTTAATTAAAGAGTATGTCATGTGATGATACCTCCAGAAATATGTCCAATACCAGTGGAAAGGGACTGTGCAAACTGAGTGGTGAACAACCTTTGAGTTGCTGGAGCTTCCTTTTGCCTCCACAGGATCCTTCTCTGACACACCATCAAGTCAGGCAAACCACACAGCATATTCTGTGGATGAATGAACAGTATTAAAAAACCAATTTAAGTGTTCAGTCCTTGTATTTGCTGTTTAAGTCAAACAGCAACCAGATAGTTTTATGCATAATCAAGAGGAAAATAGCAGGGATCACACACTTAAAAGAGAGCAAAGATATATTCATATTTAAAGTTTCCTGCTAAGTTTCCATAAATTCCATGCAATAGTTTGTGGCAACACAAGCAAGGACTCTACTGATGACAGCTGCTTATGTGTGTTTGCCAGAGAGCAGCTGGCTTCTTTCCACCAACCCTGTAAAGAAAAGTTACCACAAATTCATTATAAGCTGCAACTGAAGTACAAAGTACCATAATTTGCATACAATTGCATTCGTGTGCTAGCAGTTCTTACCCTTACTAACAGTTCAACTACAGAAGCTAGAACTCTGGATTTTAACCAATCTGTCTGTTTAACAATCAAAAGGTATATTTTAAAGATGTGTCTAAGCTTCTTCACAGCCACCATCACTTAAACCATTTTGAGATTATTCTGATATCTTTGAGATTTGAAATAAATTATATGTGTTCTCTACTAGCATTTGTACACTACCCACTTCCATTATCACACAGGAAGAATTTTTAAGTGGATTTGTACTGTGCTTTATATAAAAGTCATCCATTAATATCCTTAAAATGCATTCTCAGTAGAGTAATATGGCATTATCTACCAGTGTCAGTCACTTCATAGAGCCTTTACTTTTAAATATGGCAGTCTTATCTTTACAAAACAAACTCTGTCAAGTGCCCCTCCGCAGCTAGGGAGGGAAGGCAACATCAAAGATGTTTAATTCAACATATAAAGTCTTTGATCCTGCGCCCTCCTAGAGCCTCCATGGTTTCAGTGTGTCTTTGACGCCACCAGAAACCAGTCAGTGCCTTACTCAAGTATCATTATGTCAAGAAGCAAGTGGACATAACAAGAGGGAATCTTCATTTAATTCTGCTATCAAGATGAATATGGGGATTTATTATTGCAAGGGTATGTCAACACTGAAACATTATTTTGGAATACTGGAGTATCCCGAAATAGCTATCCAGTGTCTTCACAGTAAGCCTGTTATTTTGGGCTCGCTATTCTGATGTTCCTGTAAACCTCATTCAACGAGGCATAAGGGACATTTTAGAATAGCGCTTTATTTTGCAGTTTGGCTCTATGTAGACAGTGTCAAAAGATGAAATAAGCAATTTCAAAATATCATCGAAATAAGACACTCATCTTGCATAAATCAAATTGCGTATCTTATCTCGAGTTACAGTGCTGTGTAGATGCACCCTCAGGGAATGTCTCCACTGGGGAGCTATTTTGAAATAATTCCCATTATTTCAAAATAATAAGCAGAGCATCCACACTGTTATTCAAGTCTGTTATTTTGAAAAAAAGGGCTGGTTATTTCAAAATAATAACTCCTGCTTGTGAAAAGGAATATTTCAAAATAGTTATTTCGGGAGTTATTATTTCAAAATAACTTATTTTGAAATAACCTGGTAGCATAGACATAAACTAACTGACCCATGAGGGTCAGAGGGTTACATGGCCCTCCTCTTCCTTGTCATCTGTGGCTGACCCACAGAAGACTAGTCACCTACTAATAAGATTAGTCTGCTAGCACAAGTGGTACCATCTTGTGCTCCAGGCCTGAAAGTAAATGGTTCAAACCTTCTTCCTGGTTTTGGTGGAGTTGCTACCTAGCCTTTGTCCTTTCTTCACTGTATCCCCTCCACGGCTGTTTGCTGGCTTAATTCATGTCTTAATTTTAATTCCCCCTCTCATATTACATTCTTCCTACCAACACTAGTGATACAATGAAGTGGACTATATAATGCATTGGGATGGACTCAAATTCTGAATTGGATTATTAGTTGATTGGAATCACTGTTTTACTGCATTGCCTTTAAAAGATTGGCAATTTTTAAACTTCTACTTATATTTTGTCAGATCTATTCCAAGGACCTGACCTTTTACTTTACCTTAACCCAGTGAGTGAAATAATTAAAACTTCACAGCAAAAGTGATTACATAATTCTAGATTAATTTTTCCTTAATTTTCAAGTTGGCAGGAGAAAGGGGTTTGTATGCTATATGCTAAACAAAAAGCAAAAAAGGTACTTTTCATCTAAATGAATGAGAGATTATGTATTCCACCCATCAGTGAAATTGCAAGTGAGCCCTGGCACACTGATGAAATTATAACAACATGATAAATAGGAGGGAAATACCTGTTCCTCTTATGCAGTTTATTCAGCACTGAATTTCTTTTTCCTATGCTGAAAAGGTAGAATTGCAATTATAACTAAGTTAAAATGTAATATTAGAACCAATGGGTGGCATAAAGGTATATCAAGCAGGGAATATTTGCATCAAGAAACAATACTTTGATTAGCTTTTCATATGGTTTCCTTTTATTCAATGCACATTCCCATTTTCTACTATAAGTGAAAATAAAATAATGTCGTTTTAAAGTTTAAGGTTTAAAGTTTAAGCCTGTGACCATTCTGATAAGGGTACTCAGATCTCATCTGTGACAGTAAGAAAGAAAATCCCTTTGCTCAGTGTGTGGCAGAGAGAAGGAGGTACCCTTATGATACACGGTAAGAATATCGTATTAATGTATGTCCAGAGTGCACTACTTACACATTTATGCTGACATATAGTGACAGAATGATATATAGCACTCATTACTGGATGAGTCACTGGGGTTTCACAAATTTTGCAAATTGAGAGCAGGAGTGTTCTCTGTAACATGCTAACTTTTGTGAAGCAGAATTGCCATATACAGGCAGTCCCCGGGTTACGTACAAGATAGGCACTGTAGGTTTGTTCTTAAGTTGAATCTGTATGTAAGTCGGAACTGGCGTCCAGATTCAGACACTGCTGAAACTGACCGCCAGTTCTGACTTACATACAGAATCAACTTAAGAACCCCAGGCGTCCCCAAGTCAGCTGCTGCTGAAACTGATCAGCAGCTGATTCCAGGAAGCCCGGGGCAGAGCAACTCTGCCTGGGGCTTCCTGTAGTCAGCGCTGGTCAGTTTCAGCAGAAGCTGACTTGGG